CTGAGTTTTTAGTTACTTGTGGTCAATTATGGTCCAAAAATATTAAATGGAATATTCCAGGATAAACATTGTGTACCACTCCAAGTAGTGTAATAAAATCTTAACACTGTCCTAATTCCATCCCAGGCAAGACCCGAATGAATCATCCTTTTTACCCAATATATTCACATTGTATATGCTGCCCAGCCTGAGGTCACATAGTAACTGTTTCAGTTATCAGATTGCCTGTTGGATTATCATAGTGCTTGTGTTTGAGCAACCTTTATCTTAATTATGGTCTCAAAAGCAGAGGAGTGGTGATGCTGGCAATTTTATTACAGTACACTGTCCTAAATTGCTTTATTTTATGACTATTTTTCTCTTGGCCTAGTTTATAAATTTGTAATATATGAGATATATCAGGTATACATGAATGGAAAAAAACATAGCCTATGCATTCTTTAGAACACACCATGGATGTCATGAAGAATGACTGTGTATATACTGTAAAATGTCATAATATTTTCAGAAAACCTATTTACACCCTCCTGTATATTTTAAATTATCTCTAGATTTCTTATAATAGCCAGTGCATATAAATACTGTATAAATAGTTTCATTGTATGTTGTTTATGGAATAATGATGGCAAAAAAATTTCAAAAGATCAGAATAGGGGCTGGGGAGATGGCTCAGTGGAATAAACGCTTCCCTGGCAAGTGCAAGGGCCTGAGTTCAATCCCCGGTTCCACAAAAAAAAAAAAAAAAAAGGTCAGAATAGACATAGTCATTGTTGGTCTACCTACATAGGACACAAACAAGACCTGAAGTGACCAATTTTACAAGAGCAGGAAGTTATACCTGCCTGGATATATCTACTATTTCATTTGTATGGATTCAGTTTCATGGCTGATGCATGACAAATTGAAGTTTAGCCTGTTGGAAATTTCTAGATTAGTTTTGAAGTTATTTTGAGCCCAGGGTTGGTTAAATCTACAGCTATAGGATGTATAATTAGTGAGGGCTAACTGTATAAAGTTCAATGCTATTAACAGGTTTTGGGCACCAAACGCTAGGCATCTTGGAATGTAGTCCCCATGAATTAAGGGCAGACTACTTACTTGCCAGTGTTTTTTTTTTTTTGTTTGTTTTTTGTTTTTTGTTTTTTGTTTTTTGTTTTTTGGAGGAGTACTGGGATTAAAACTCAGGACTTCACACTGGCCAGGCAAGTGCCATGCCACTGAGCTAAATCCCCAGCCCCTAGTGTGTTTCATTGATAAGTAAACACATAAACTGTGTATGTCTTGAAGAATCATAAATTAGGGGTTTTTTTGTGTGTTGTATTGAAAGTTTCTCATTTGGATTTAGCAAATTCTGAAGTGAGTAGTGCTCTGTGTTATTTGGAATAAAATTCCTGTAACAGAATCAGTCATGCTGAAGTGAACCATTTGGTACATTTGTGGTGTTGTGCAAACCATCACTTCTGTGTAGTTCCAAAACATTTTCCTCAGCCCACAAGGGAAACTCTATATTCAGTAAGCAGTGACTTGCTTTTCCCTCCTTCCCCTTCCCTAGCAACTCCTTTTCTGCTTTAGTTTCTCTATAGATTTGCCTGCTGGATATTTAATATAAATAGAAGTATAGAATATGTGACCTTTAATATAGCATTTTTATGTGAATATACCACATTTTTTTTATCCATTTGTGAGTGTATGAATGTGAGTATTTCTGCTTTGGATCTTGTGAATAATGATGCTGTGAGCATTCATGTAAAAGTTTGTATTTGCACACCTGTTTTCAGTTCAGTTGAGTGTACACCTACGAATGTTCTGAATGTTATGGAAAAAATATATTGCTGAGGCCAGGGAGATAGCTCGGTAGAATAAGTGCTTGCCTGGCAAGTGCAAGGGCCTGAGTTCAATTCCTGGCTCCGC